GTCTATGTTATCATTGATAAAATAATTCAAATTTATGTTTCGTACTAATATGCGATTGAATAATATTTGTGCAGTTATCTACTTTACGAAAAAATTTTTTTTGTATATTGCAGTCTTTTTTCATACTCTGTATCTGTCTCTTATATGTAAAAAATTAGAAATTAAATTTAGTTTGACTTTGGCGCTTTTTACCCCCATGCCCTCACGAGCGCTGCCACACGGCAGAATATCCCTCATTGCGCACGTATATATAGGTATAAACTTGTCTATCGAAAACCCAAATAAAAACTTGTCATGGCTTGTTCCAGCAATTCTACCTCATGTATATGACACATATAAGAGTTCACCCACGGAAACACAGAATAGCGAGGCAAAAACAAATTTGAAGCACCTCCATTGTCTCATGTGGGTTGTTGTCCTCTGCTAAATGCAAAGGAAATTTCGAGATCCGTTGTTTTTTTCGTCTTTCTTTATAATTTTTAGTGTCTTCGTCTTGTATTGCATCACAGGATCACATCGCAACGATAATGTCCAGCCGGTCGCGTAACTCCTTAAACGCCGGGTAGGGACAATTGATATTACGCGTGACTCGATACTTTCTTCTTATTCACGGCAAAAAAGCAGTATAGATACTACCTGGTTTGCTCTATTTCGTAGGTCCAGTTCGGAGGAAAGTGACATGGACTTCGAGTCCGATGTCGAGGACAACCCGGAGGTACCGGCGTACGAGCATCGATCCGAGGGCGACAAGTCATACGTGGAATCGGGTATGCGTGTACTTTTTGCAATATGTGTTTGTTTGTTGTTTGTTGTTTTTTTTCATGAATTTTGGCATGCGGGAGAAAGTGAGAGTGAATGTAACTTGACAGGAGTTTTGTTGAATTTGTAGAGGCTGCAGAAAGCTATTCGGATGACGATATTGACGATGTCGAGGAGGAGGAAGAAAGAAATAGCAAAAAGCCAAAGAAGAAAGCCAAAAGAATCGTGAGCGATTTTATCCTGCAAGAAGCTGAGGTTGACGATGACATCGATGAAGAGGAAGACTATGAGGATGGATCTGGACTTGGGTTTGTTGATAACGAAGTGGATGAAGTTGGCCCAACTGCCAGAGAAATCGAAGGCAGAAGGAGAGTCACCAATATTTGGGAGTACGTAGAGTGGATGCTGCTCATCGTGATACAAAGTTTTTTGTGTAATTTGAAAATGTGTTTTTCTCATTAGAACAGGAAAAGAAGAAGAGATTGAGGAATACCTGAGAAACAAGTACTCCAAGGAAAGTGCTGTTGCACAGCATTTTAACAATGAAGAACTGGATGATGAAATCACCCAGAAAACGTTGTTGCCTGATATCAAAGATCCAAATTTATGGATGGTCAAGTGCAAAATTGGCGATGAAGCCTCCACTGTTCTTCTTTTGATGAGAAAATTTCTCTCTTATCAGTATTCTGGTGAGTTTATTCTTTTTTACACTGCACACTTCACGTACAACATTAATTTCATGAAAGTTCAAATTACCGTGCAGATAATCCACTCGTCATCAAGTCAGCAATCGCACCAAAAGGCATCAAAGGCTACATTTATGTCGAAGCTTACAAGCAGATTCACGTAAAAGCTGCTATTGAAAATATCACTAATCTGAGAATGAGTTATTGGGGACAAATAAAAATGGTGCCCATCAAAGAAATGACCGACGTTCTCAGAGTGAATTCTACAACGAACCTCAAGTCGGCACAGTGGGTAAGGATGAAGAGAGGTCTGTACAAAGGTGATCTGGCACAAATTGATTACGTCGACTTGGCGCAAAACAAAGTACACTTGAAACTGATACCAAGGATTGATTACTTGAAACTGCGAGGCGCATTGCGACTGACGGCAAATGAAGATGACATCCCGAAACGGAAAAGAAACAAAAGGCCTCCTCAAAAACTCTTTGATCCAGAGGCTATAAAGACTATCGGTGGTGAGGTGGCTAAAAACAGCGATTACTGGGTGTTTGAGGGAAATCATTACTCTCACAAAGGGTTTGTATTTTCGTACGGCTGAATAATGTCATGCTCCTGTGGTAACCACCGCACGCTTTGCGTTATAATTTTAAAAATTGAATTTTCCAGCTTTTTGTACAAGAACTTCAATACAAAAAGCATTGTAACCGATGGCGTCCAGCCAATATTGCAAGAGCTAGAAATTTTCGAGGACAACTTGGAAAACGTAAACCTAGATACTGGCCTCAGTTCGTCACAACTTAGTGGGCCAGTAGGAAATTTCAGTGTTGGCGATAACGTAATAGTTACGCAAGGCGAACTTTTGCATTTGCGAGGAAAAATCTTGTCCCTGGACGACAAAGTAATAATGTTACCAGACCATGAGGAATTAAAAGACCCCATTGAATTTTTGCCTTCGGAAATAAAAAAATATTTCAACATTGGTGATCACGTAAAGGTAAAAACGACGCATCCAATTAACATAATATTTGAATAAACGATGAATCATCATCGACAGGTTCTAAATGGCAAGTACGAAGGCGATACAGGCCTGATCGTGCGGATCAAGAATGACCACATAATCGTGTTCTCCGACGTGTCGATGCACGAAATGGAAATTCTGCGCGAAAGCTTGCAACTCTGTCCGGACGTGTCGACGGGCGTCGACAGTCTTGGCAAGTTCGCATGGGGCGATCTAGTACAACTGGATCCCACGAGCGTAGGCGTGATCATTCGATTGGGACGAGAGAGCTTTCAAGTACTGTCGATGCACGGCAAGGTCGTGATGATCAAAGACACTTCGCTGACGCTGTACCCCGTTAACAGAAACACAACTGCTTTGGACATGCATCAGGATTCGATCAAAAGGAAGGACATAGTGAAGGTGGTCGATGGGCCGCACTGCGGCAGGGACGGGGAAATCAGGCATCTGTACAGAGGTTTTGCCTTCATTTACTCGAAAATGTACACCGAGACCGGAGGTATCTTTGTCTGCAAGTCCCGACACTTGCAGTTGGTCGGCGGAACAAAGTCGAATGGCGTTTTTGATATCACTTCAGCTGTATGCGCTTCTCCCTTGCACATTGAACCGTAAGTCACTGATTCATGTACACTTGCATTGTCTAGTCTATGATTTCAACAACTTGCAACAACAATAATTACAGCGACGTAAGTGGACCCAAGATCAACAAGAAAGGTATGCGATTTGGTGGTGGCTACGTTACTCAGCGCAACACAAAGCTCATCGGCATGACGATTCGCATCTGCGGTGGGCCGTACAAGGGTAGTATCGGTATCGTCAAAGACGCCACATCTACGACCGCCCGAGTCGAGCTGCACTCGCCCTGCCAGACGATCTCGGTCGATATATCTCACATTGTTAATGCCGATGGGAACAAGGTCCCCGAAGGCAACACCCCTCAAGGGTACAACGCCGTCAACGCCGACTACACACCGAATCGCAGTATTGGAGGCCGTACGCCTATGTACGGACAAGCTAGGGATGGCTATAGAATGCAAGGGCAAGGACCTCAGACGCCCATGTACGAGAGTAAGTATCCATTTTTTTTTTTTTTTTTCTATCTCCAAGGTTCGAAAGCCCGTGTACTCTGTTTGCGTGCTTTGATGAACGAAAATGGGAACTTTCAGCTGGCGCGCGAACTCCGTATTACGGCTCCGGTACACCGCTGCAGGATGGCAGCAGAACACCGGGTACGTCAGGTGCTTGGGACCCGAAAGTTTCGAACACGCCCGCGCGAAGTAGCGAGTACGACGACGATGATGTTGGCCCCAGCACGAGTTTCATGGAAAATGACGCGCCGAGCACTCCGCTCTCGCCTGATTACTTGGGAAACAAGTCGTCGAGTGGAGTATTCGATTCCGAGGGTAGTTTCGATCTCAACTCGCCCATCAGTCCATGCGCGAAGCCCAGTTTTCACAGCAGTCCGAACCTGCACAATAGCTCGTTCAACAACAGTTCGTACTCGGCTTCGCTTAATTATACGCCCTCGTCGCCTACCGAGTCCAATCAGTCGACCGATGGTGAGTAAAGATGGTTGAAAACAAATAATCGATTATCAATTTTTGGTCCTTTGATTTATGTTTTTTTTCTTTTATTTCACGTAAGAACGTCGCGAGTACCTCGACTCACCCGCATCGCCTCCAAGTCACAATGTATTGGCTGATAATGGTGAGTGAATCTTTAAATTCCAATGAATTATCATTCTAGGAATTTTATCATTTAAATGGTTTTTTACTTTTTCAGCAGAACAGTATAGTTATTCACCTAAATCGCCAACGAGCTCTCACGCATCTTTTATTACTGGTGAGTTGAAAATGTCGATAATTATGTGACTCGATTATTCTGAGATGGTTATCATTTCATTTCATAAATTTATGTTTTACAGGAGATATACCATCCCCTTATTATGGTTCGCCTGCATCTCCAGACTTGAAAAGTGGTAAGTCATTTATAGTTGTTGTGTAATTTAATGATATTGTTGCAATTTTTAATATCTGTAATTTTTTTTTTTTTTTTCGTATTTTCAGAAAAAATCATACAAGATGAAAATCCTAACTTTTACGGATCCGACATGCCTGCATCGCCTTTGCCTGTAGAGCACAATGAAAAGCCTTGCTTTTATGGGGCAGACGGTTGATTGTTACATATATAAATGTATGTAGGAGTTGATGGTGCGCGGGTACGATGTGGGCGCGCATATAAGTACGGGAAGTTGTGTGCTTAACTGATGACTTTTTTTTCCTAGAGCGTTACTTCGATCTAGTGAGGGCCGAGTTTTTTTTTTTTTTTTTTTTTTTTTTTAATAGGCCATACTCTACTGAAACTGAGGGGCTCGGGTTTCCAGGAAAAAAAAATATATGGTTCACGATATTGCTGAAGTTAACATTTCTTTATTTTTTTCGGTGTTTGGGGCAAGCTTTCAATTGGAGGCCTATAAAGATGGGGAGAATAAATTATAAAATACTTTTTGGCCCAACAAATTAATTTGGGATCAAACTTTTTTTTTTCATCCATATGTATTTTCCGATTTTTTTGTTTATAAACCTTGTTAAAGATACTTGAGTACTTTGTTCAGATCTTCAAAGCTTGTTATTCAAACAGTATTCAATTATTATTGCTGTTACAATACAAACAAGTGTAACACGTCAAACTCTTATTTCACCAATTATAAATATTTTGAAAAATTGTAGAGAAACAAATGATTTATCGTCTTGCGACGAGATTTGAATTGCGTAGTTTAAATTATTTTAAATGATAACACAGAGCTTGTGTATACTTTACTTGTCAGATATCCTTTGTTTTGAAGAAAAAATTAAACATTTTGCAATCCACTTGTCATTTACTAATACCTTGTTATTTCATACCCATACCAAGAGATTTGTAAAGAAAAAGTGATCCAACACATAAAATTGAATATGCTACGTTCTATTATCTTCGAAACTGCTTACTTCAGATATAAAGGTGTACATGCAAAATTTCAGCACGATTCGATATCCTGAAGAGGTAAAAAATTTTATGGTAAGATTTGTCTCAAAAAAACAAAAAACCAAGTCAACTAAAAGCTTGTATCGTTAAATCGGTTGTGAGGAGGGCTTTGTTTATATCGTCGTCAGTCTCTATTGACCTGTGCAATGCACACTCGTTTCAGAGACGATTAATTTACCATAATACAATTCTTAAGAGTCACATCAATCACGACCATGACAACGCCTGTCCTACATACCACCGATTATTTATCTCTTCACTTATCATGATTGTTTTTCAGTGTCAGAAATTTGTCTTTTCCAATAAGATGCACCAGAATATTTCTTTGTACTCTCGCACAGATTGAAAAAACATTAAAATAAAATACTAACATTATCAACTTATAATTTTTTTTTTTTTTTTTTTTTCAGCAAAATGAAAAGAAACAATAAATATTGTAGACAATAACAATATTATGTTTCGGCATTTCATCATTTATATAGATATCTTTTCGATCTTGTAAGTCAAAAATCTCTATATTAACTGTCGGGGTTTGAAAATAAAAAAACGCTTTTTTTATAGTTTCGTAATTTATTTATACGCTTTTTCGATCAAAATTGATGATAAAGAATATAAACTAGCTTTGGGCTTGTTTACGTTGGACAACGCCTTTTCGAAGTTATAGTTTGAAAATTCAAAGAAATTCAAGTTTGCGCTAATTATCATGCAAACAACGTGCTCAAACACTGAAAGCGCAGATACGAGTACACGGACAAGGGATTTCCGTTCCAAATACGTTTGTTTTTTTTTTTTTCCTTTTCTTTTCCAGCTCTGTATGAAAATTTTTGAACGCACCGAATCCTTAAGCAGTTCTCAGATTTTCTAAAGAGCTACAAAGAGATTTCGAAAGATAGCGGGTTAAAAATATCCTTTCGGACTATTATTCGGTTTAATCATATGAGTAAAAAAAAAAAAAAAAACATTGATCTTATGTTGTTTGTCTGTTGAACTAGCTTGTGAAATCGTAACTCATCAATAATTCATACCAAGACTGATCAAACCAGTCGAGTGAATCCCTACATATCTTATGCAAATAAATGAATAAATTGATAAAAAATAATACTTTGGATTCCATCTCTTTTTGAGCAAAATAAAAAAATAATAAAATAAAAAATAAACAAAAACACATTTCCAGATGTTGAAAATGTTACATCAGATTATGCTTTGCCTATAAGAGCAGTTAAAAAAAATGCTTATTTTGTGCTTTCAAAAAAATTAACAGTTTACTCAAATTCATCATTATAGTAGTTATCATTAGTTTTTCATGTTTTTTTTTTAGCATCATAAAAAAAACTTATAATAACTTGTATGAATTATAAATTATAAGTGATTAAAAGTTACAGCTTGTAATATTAATTTTTTATAATTAATTTTCAGTAATTAATAATTGAAAAAAATTTTTATGAATTATTGTTGATTGTTAATAGAAATCATACATGTTTATTTTTCAATTACGAAATTAAAACGTACTTTTTAAATTATACTTGACATTAAAAAAAATAATAACTATACTGGGAAGATTTACTAATAGCATTTAATGGATCAATAATACATATTGTTAGTCTCAAACTTGGACCATATTGTTTTCATTTGTTACCTTTTTATCTTAATTATTAACAATAATTAAATAATTAAGATTATTTTTTAAGAGTAAAACATGAGGTTTTTAACAGAGTGGCTCATATACATTGAATGTATTAATACATGTACACATGCCGAGTGCAAAATCTCACATAGGAAAAACGCTGCGCTTTCCCTTACGTGTATGTACACACAAAATAAGGGGATGGAGTTTTTCTCACACACAACCACGCCGTCACCCCATGCGCCACTACACGATTTTCCCATCGGCATTGAAGCTATCCAGGACAGAAAGAGCCCGTTCACGGATTTTCCCCCTTTTTTTTTGTCCGCAAGCCTGCGCTGTTGGTGAATATGATTTGCCCGATCGCTGGGGTCAGTTTTTTTATTCCTCGTATGGTTTCTAATGAATCGGTGAGATTTTGGCTTGTTGTTTACTGTGAGACGTGAAATCTGGTCAGTAAAAAAATCGGTCAATAGACGCGTGACTGCGGATTGCCGGATGATGAATGCCCTTTTTTTTATTTTCAACTGGGTGGTTTTGAGGTATAGCACGAGAATTATATCGATTTCCAATGCGTTTGCATATAGTTTGTTACCTCGGGACTTTTTTTGGTTCCTTCCATGAACCCTGAGGCGTTAATCGTATGGGAAATTACTTGGTCTTTTTTTTCATGGGATCAATGTCAGATGATTGAGGTCGTGATGAATGCATGAGAGATTATTAGAATATAATTTGTCCTTTTTCCTAGATACATGTGATATTTACATCGTAAATGTCGCTTGAAACAGTAAAGTATCAAAAAAATTTCTGTGAATATTTATTCAAATACCATGGAACTTACATCAGCATAAACTGCTCGTTCAAGATGATTCATTTTGATCATCTGTACAAAATTCGTTCAAGTTTTTAAACTACTATAAAATAAAAAAAGTAAAAAACATTTTTTAATGGGCCCCCGTATTTTGTAAGGGCGCTTTGATATATTTACGATACATAATAGTAATGATGATTCTTGAAAAGATATCATTGTTAGTTAGTCAATTATATTGACAAGGATAAACAATATACTAGTTATATTAAAGCAAAACAAATATTATCTAACACTAGGTAAAAATATTAGGAACTTTGTACTACCTAAGAGGTATTTTGTACTTAAAAAAAAAAAAATTTATGTTAATATGTGCTTACTCAGCAGTAGGTGATTCTGGAGAGTAATTAGCCTGTTGTTCCGATTGTCCTGTAACATGCCCCTTAAAGCGAATAAATCAAGTGACGCATACTAAATACTAAATTATTACACTATTGTATGTTATTACCCACCAGCAATTTCGGAATCCGCGGGAACATAAAAATTAGGTGCTGAAACGGAAAAGATTTGATTAATTTTTCGCTTGCATATTGAACTTTACCACAAACTCAGTTAATAACATTTTCATACGGCTTCTCGGGCGGGGGTGATCCAGGTGATTCTGCCCCCGAGATCAACAGCAGCGGCGTTACGCTTAAAAGCCCAACTTCGATCGGTACCCGATAAATTTCACGTAACATATCATCGTGTATATATATATATATTAAACGGGCGCAATGAATCAAACCTCACGTTATTACATATATGTATATGAGTACACACCCATAGGTACCTATAACAGAGCACTTCATTGTCAGCTCTGATATACCCACATTGCTTTCATCGTCGACGCGACGCCCCCATCGCCCGAGAAAACGACTCGAATGATTTTGCCTCCTCTACATCCCCCCCCCCCCCTTTTGAACACCGATGAAAAACCACACGCACCGCGTTCCCACAGAGCTGCGTAGATGCGAGGGCGTTGGCTTCGTGCGTGGGTATATATGTATATATATATAATACTAACACTA